ACAGGTAACAGCAGAGAAAACACGGTAAAAACTTACTAAAGTATCTCATATTCAAAGAACACAATAACCACCAGGAGTCAGCTAGACTGTCAAATAGGTACTACAATAAACAGTGGATTTTTAAAAATAAAAGTCCATTAAATTGATTCTTTCAGTGGAGAAGAGCAATGATACATAGAAGGTATATCTCTGACAAGCTTCTGCTTCTGAGCCTCTAAATTACATTAGGTTTGGTGTTTGTGTTTTTTTCAAGAAATTACATATTTAACATTCTGCTTGCAGTGCAACAGTAATCTAAACCCTTCCTTTAGTTTTTGGCAAATGCTGCGCATCACTCACGTTCAACTTATCGTTAATTGTGCACTGTTCATGTATCTTAGTGTGGTTTCAATGCTCCTATGGCAAGGCTAAACAGCATTTCAGAAACAATGATATCCCCAGGCCCGTGCTGTAGTTTCTGAAGCACAGATTAAGCATGGTATTCTGCTCAACAAGCTCATCACTGTTAAGTAACTCATCAGAAAATAAAGAGGGAATTATCAAATGGGAATTGCCAAGTAATTAGTTCTCTGAAGCAGATGACATACAACTGTTAAAGGGAGGGGCTTCCCTGCTAGTCATATGTCAAAGTAGAGCCTCCTAATCTGTAAATAAAAATTCAGTACATATGATTAGTGTGATGGGTATTTAACTGCTAGTGGTACATGGAGAATAAAGATATACCTACTTCTACCACAATAATCTACTAGGATTTTTTTCCCCTTGAATACCTTGAAATTTGAAAGCATTCTGGGTCTACTTGCTGTCAGACTACCTTGGGAAAGCTGTGAATACAGCACACTACCAAGCAGCAAAAGTGTTCAGGGGCTTTTTATATATTACTATATACATTTGAAAATATCACTTTCTAGTCAGCTGCTACACGTGCCACTGAAAAGGAACCACACCAATGAGAAAACATTCAGTAGCACAAAATTTCTGAGCACAGTAAAGGAGGATTAAGCCTGCTTTTCATAATTATCCTTCTCCATTAAAGCCTGACTTTCTTTCAAGTAGCTGGCCTCACAGAAATGTTAGCTGTACCAAACTACAAAGGCCTTCACACGTGGGTACCTGACAAACAAAAATGCGGTAACAGTCACAACCACACTCCAATACAAGTGAGAAACACTTTGACATTTGTACTTTTTATAGAGCAAGGAGTGACTCACTAAATCCTGAAGTCAGGTTTACAGTTAGTTCCAAAATAAGGAATTGATGAGAAAATAAAGAGGCAATTATCAGATTTAGGGTTTGCCTCTATCACAGAGCCCCAACATGAGCAACATTAAATCCAGATGTTGCCACCTGGGCTAATTTCAGGCCAAAATTATAACCCTGGTAATGAGAACTAACTTTTCGCCAAAGGCAGAGCCCTGGTTTCGAGGCAAGGCAAACCCCACCAGCACATCCCTGCCCAACACACACAGCCAAGGGAAGGGGCAGCAGGAGGGCACACACAGATGCTCAAGCTTGCACACAACTGCACATCACATCCCGACACCTCACCACTTCTCGGCCCCCAGCACACAGAAGTTCTACATCTACTCATACTCACACTAATATCCAAAAGCCCACACTTTTAAAGGAATGCTATCAAGTTGCAGTATGTAGGACAGCAAGTCTCATTCCATTTGCAGATACACCTTTTAAAAACACCAAGTTGGAAGGTGAACCAAACCTCGGACAGTGCCTTATATCACATTATGAATGTCAGCCTTGTGTTTTTTATGTAGGCATACCACTACACCCAATGCCATTTATGATTCAGACCATGTTATGAAACTTTCTATCAGTCAGGCAGCAGGCCCTCAGTATCTGCTGTAGGAACAACAGAGCAAAAACATGAAAGGTTATGGCTGAGGTGAGGAGATCACAAAGCCTCATTTTTAAGACATCTGTCAGCACTCACATCACTTCATTTACCTTTCAGTTGTTCACACATTTACAATTTAAAAAATTTAAATTATTCCTAATTACTATCAGTTATACCTAGTTCACAGCTCCATTTCACTTGTGTGCTGTTAACACGTTAGAAATATCCATTGCCTACCTTCTTTTAGCCCTACAGCTATTCTAGACCTTTGTAAACAGCATGAGGGAAGAAATAAAACCAGCTGTGATAAAAGGACACTGATATGACAACCAAAAAGCTACCAGTGCACACAGTAATATAGAGACAGATTAGTTCTTTTTATGTTCACTGTTAAGTATTTTAAAAGGGCAGACTTGCCTGTTTAGAGAGAACAGTAGCCAAAAGACTGCATAAAACAAAAATTATGTCCTATGTAAAAAATAAGCAATATTAAGTAGTATACAGACATACTTACTGAAAATTCAGCCAAAAAATTTTCTTACTAATGGGCTGCCAGCCATAACTTCATCCCAGTACTATGATTAATAAATATCAAGTGACTTGACAGTAGAAAAGATTAAAAAGAACTCTTTAATTGTTAAAATGTCCAGCATCTCACACAAAATCTTCTCAAGACAACTGTATAAAAGAAAGCATTGAGTCATTTGCCTACGTGGAAGGAGGCAGTGCATGCTCTGAACAAATAACAATAACTCCATGTTTTGGAGAGCAGCTAGAATTAACTAAAAATAAAAAAGAAAGAAAACTGTATCTATTTATTTATTTTCATTCTACTTTTATTATGCCAATGTCCTTATCCAGGCAAGATGCTTAACTGGCTCTGCAGAAAATGCTGCTTGAATTGGAAGGGTAAGCACACCTGGAGAGCTGACACACAGCAGAGATGTTACCCACTGAAGCCACACAATTCCTCACTCACACAAGTGAAGCCATGAATGCACATGTAGGGGCATTGGGCCACAAGTACAGTTTCTGAGATCCGTTTTGGATGCCTTCAAACAAGTCCTGTGTTCTGTTCCTCTGACAGACTCCAGGGTCATAACCCAGCTCTGCCTAAAATGAAGCAGGGCAGTTGCCACCTTCATCCCAAAGCAAATGCAAAAGCCAGAAAGATGATGGGTGTGAGTATGAAATGCTGTATCTGTGGCTGCTCCCTGCACAGTGCCAGCTCATGTTTCTTTCACAGGTTACTACTGTGAGCTCCTGTCTGTTTCCTCCAGTAACAGAAGTTTGTAAGCAGGCAGTATCTATTCCAAGAACTTTTATTTTACTAATTTAGTTATACAGTGGGCCTGATTTTGATCATTCCATGGAGAAAATGAGAACTAATGAGGTCAACAGAGGTGCCACCAACTCAGTGCCAAAAAATGTCCAACAACAAGAAGTTATATCAAATTTAACCTAATCTAAGGTCCACAAATACTTCAAGCTGAGCTGGAATAGGAAAAACAGCAATTTAGTACTATATTCTTCATGCCTCTGCACCAGACTTAACTAGGTTACATTTTTTATCCAAATGTTTGTTTAGCATCAAATATATTCTCTCTTGTGTAATTGCAGAAAATACCAGATGCTAAAATATCCAAGGTGACTTAGCAATACATTGTGAGTAACACAATTTGATTATTCACAGGACTTGACCAATGTCCTATAAACAACTACTTCTAATTAAGAGATATAAACTTTTCCAGCAGTAATCACTTCTTTTAAAAAGCCACTTTTATACAACCCAAGCTAATCCTAAAAATAAATAAAATTAAATGCTTTGTGGAAATGATAACGTCATAGCAAAAAAACTCCTTTTATTTCATATCCCAAGCCAATAGTTACTACCAATTCAGTTTTCTTCCAAAACAGGAAGACAAGGTGTGTCAGCACAGGGGCACTTTGTGTGGTTTTTCACTCTAAAGAAACTCTTATTGCTCTGAAGTTACAGTACCCTCATCATTCAAGCTCATTTGGAAATTGTAACAGGCATGTCCTTGCATGTATCTACTTGCCTAGGCAACTTCCCTCACAGCACCCTTCCCCATAGCCACAATAAAATGTAAATGATGAGCTGCATACTTTATGACATGCTGTATACATTAAAAAGTTATTCTGCTATGGAGACTTTCTGATCAGCCCTGCATATATAAGAACACTACTGCAATTAAGCTTTCAGATTGTAAATTTTAAAAAGAAACCCTTTGATTTTCTGCAAGCAATCACTATATTTCATTCTCTTTTCTTTAAAGACACAGGCAATTTTATTATGACCCTTTATCTTTTTTTTTCTTAAAGCATTAGCAGCATTGCCAATCCCAAGCACTTAAAAATCATAGAACAGGTCCAAAAAACCAGGCTGGCCTAATGACAATCAGATTAAAGAAATAAAATAAAAATTTATGTTCTTTTTATTGGCAGTATGATTGTTGAGTCTTGGGACTTAGTCTTTTCAAGTTATTTTCCACAACCATATGGGAAAGAGAGATTGAGGAAAGGGGCAGCAGCAGACTGATACACGTGCACTTTTACATCTTGTCTGGCCACAGCATTTCAGGGAGGAAAATCAGAAGAACAGAAAGCATTCCTCAAAATAGAGCAAAAGACACACAGATACATCAGTAGTGACTAATTATCCTGGGAACTATTCTAATGCTGGACAAAGTTTAATGCACAGAAGAAACTCAAGACAGTGGAAAAGCCAAGTAGGCAACAAGCAACCAGAATCCTGAAAACTTTCATAAAGTGAAGGAAGGATTTATACAATTTAACATATGGCATTTTATAACAAGAATCAAAGTCTGCCAACTTTTCCATTCATACTAACATATTCCAGTAACTGAATATACTCTGACCTCAGGTGAGCATAAAACCACTCATCTGGAACGCACTTGTTCTGTAAGTCACTGAACTGAGTCACCAGAGTTAAAGGCATTTTTCTGAGCAGAGTTTCTCAAGGACCTCTACTGCCAGGCAAGGGAAGTACAAACCTATCACAGGTAGGTAATCACACAGCCACCAGGAAGGTGTCCCCTTTGCCTAAAGCCCAGAGCAGACAGTGTACACTTGCTGAAGGAAATAAAAAGCATTGTATTCTCACCTTATTGGCAGTGCATAACTGTACGGTGAAGACAAAAATGACGGTGGTCACTGTCCTACAGGGTCAAGAATAAATTCACAGCTTGTATTGCTTGCCCATCTGGCTTGGCCTGCAATGTGACTGTTGATCCAGGAGTTGAGGAGATGGAAACCAAAATAAAGAGAAACAAAAAACACAGTTAAGAGTCAACATTTACAGTCATTTACAACATGCTAAGATATCCCAATGAAGACTGAGTCTGCTTCTACTATTATTCAAGCACAGATAAACTACAGATTTAGTCCTGCAGACATAGCTCATACAGTAGAGAGCAGAGCCCATTTATTCAGAGTGTTCTTTTCCTAAATGTGATCTTAATGAGGTGAAGAATCATAAGCAAGTGGAGATGACTGTCTTCACTGCCAACAGAACATATTTTATTTGAGAAGCAGTAGCATCCTGAAAACATAGTGCTGCAACTACTACTACTAGGTGAAAAATAATCACCTATTGAAATGTGACTTTACCTTGTATACTATTTTGTCCTTAAAGGTGGCACACTACAGTCGATGCCTATTACTGCAAATTCCTAAATAATATAAACAAAGAAAAACTCTACCAATGTGGGTTTTTGTATTATTTCTGTGATTTTGCTCAGGAAAATCATTAAGATCCAGTACTGAACTTCTGCTGACATCACCTATTAAACAAAATACGTTTTCACTTGGAATCTCACCAAATACTTTTATGACTTTCAGTACAATAAAAGGATTTAGTGGGACCATTTCTCCCTCACTGAGAATCATTTCTGTTGTTTCAGTTTATGAGCATACTTACTTGTTCCTATTTAGGGAAGGATTTACACGCATACTTAACTCTAGATAGGTTCTTTAATCAATTCTCATTCAGCAAAACCCTCACTGGGATGTGTACTAAAGTAACTTTGCAGACTGGGACCAATGCACACATACAGATTTGCATGTGTTGTACAGTCACTTCAGACTACAGCTTTGAGAGAAAAAAAAAAAAAGCCATGAAGCATTACATTCTCAACACATGCACAGAGATCAAAAAGGAGCTACGGTCACGGATCTAGTTTTTGACTTTGTGCAAAAATCAGAAATCTACAAAGTTTCCTACATTTTAAAACGTTAGCCATGCATCACCTCAGCCAAAACCATATAAAAATCTTCGACTTACTCATATAAAGAATGTGAACCACTGAATAAGACTTCAAAATACAGTGCCTTTGACCAAATACCTATTTATTTATTTATCACACTTGGAGTCTCGCTTTAAAGTAAAATGAAAGGATGAGGTCTGGATTTTCACTTTGCAAAGCTTAGGCTATTGAAGTCACTGAAATACAGCAAGTCAGTTCTTTGCCATGAAATATTTACCTGTGCCAAGTCTGCCATACTTCTGTTTCATGTTCTAATTATACCTTTATCTGTTGACGCAGAGCTGGTTACAGCAGTCTCAGAAGAGACCTACAACTAAACCTGTTATCTGCAACCTCTGAATTGTACACACTGTACCCGTACAGTTCTCCAGAGCAGCCAAATCACTCACAACCTGTGTGGTTATAGCTGAGGCTGTCACACAGCCCGACTTCTCTCAAGCATCACCAGCGTCAGCTGCCTCGCACGCTGGAGTAGGTTTGCAGCCAGCCAGTGCTTCGGACCATCTATGCAATCCTGACAAGCACTTCCTTTACAGCCTGCCATACTTTTTTATTGCATTTCCCCCTCAATTAGTACACCACAACAAAAGCAGTGTGTGTATGAACAATGACAATGATAATCCTGACTATCATCTGCTAAAATATGCTGTTAAACTTCAGCAAGGGGAAAATTAGGCCTTCATTTTGTTTTACTAGCCACGTTACTAAGAAAATTATTTTAAAATTCTAACATTTAAATCCTTAGTTGCTTTTCAGGTGACTGCATTCAAGTGTCTATTTTCTTAATTAATGGGAAACTAGGCCACTGGATCTATTACATAAAAAATTTTTGTTAAGTGAAATTCCAGGTCTCTTGTAAATGCCTTTTAAAACAAAACTAGTTTTTTCAACCTTTTAAAATAGATTCAATCAGGCTAGAAAACCAAAGTTGCACTGTTTATTTTTCAGAAAAGTTTTTAAACTATGTATATATGGCCTTTTTGAAAATAATCACTTTCTAACACTCTTAGTCACAGGTAATTTGTCTTACAATAAAATATGTATAAGCAGCATGCAGCACACAAAGGCTTACACTACAGGAGTCATCCTGCTCCTTACTATTCCACTCTCTCCAGTCAGTCCTCCTAACAAGCTCTTCTATATCAAGCCCCCACCTCAGAATGGAGGCCCAAAAACAGAGGCAGCTGCACAGAGCAGAGAATATTCTCTCCTAGCCAGAAGGGCAAGTTAGTTGAGGCACTGAGGAGCTGCACTTCAGTGCAGGAAATTGCCTGAAAATACCCTGTCCCCTCACCCCTCCAAGAAGAAACACTCCTGCTCGATAGGCAGGCTGAGACCTGCAAACTCATCCCACTAAACCCAAGACCACTGCTGCCTGTCACCACAAGAGCTGAACCACTAACAGGCATTTCTCATTGCCTCCTCCTCCAACTCCAGTGCCTTACCGTCAGAGTGATTAAAATATCTATTTTACTGAGATATTTCTGGATTGCTTTATGTTCCAGCCTGGTACTACAAATGCTCAGGAGCTGTGGGTGCTGATGATTTCTCATCACTGAGACACAAAATCCTCTGGGCCAAGTTCAATATTAGTGTAAGTGCACCCAAGATTAGTGACTGGAGTAGAGGTGTTACCCACTTCTATAGACACTTAATGCAGCTCCTTAATCAGGCAAAAATCCTATTTAAGCCCACAGTCCCTTTTACCATGAAAAGCAATATAGAGAAAATAACAGTGATACGCAGCAGATCACTTTCCGAGCTCGGTTACTCTATACTACATGCCTGGATTATGTCCAATAAATGGAGTTATTTGAGAGATACACCCATGTAAGTGGCTCACAATCCCATCCCCTGGAGTTGCTCCAGATTTATGACATTAGAACACTGTGCCAAATTTGGTGCTTTTAAAAAATTATACCTACATTTATGGAAGTGGCTTAAAAGAGTGATGTTCGAACAATGAGAATGATGACAAATATACATTGCTTGGTGAAACATGTTTTTAAGAGCAACATGCAGTTCAAAGCTAATTATATTGCATATCCTTTTTACGGTATTATACAACGTGTCAGAAAGTTTCCTGCTCCGTGGCTATAATATTTTGGTAAGCCTAAATGCAAAAAAATACACCCATACAGAAACAAAGTGTTTGCTGAGACAAAAATTGTTTTTAACAATTCTATAATATTACAATATTATTATTATAATATTTTGTGATAATATCTAAGGATATTATCACAAAAAACTGCAGTCAGCTTTCATGTAAAAAAAGGGCCTAGACCTTGCTAAGAACTATGAGGAGGCTTAACAAAGCCAGAGTGACAATACTGACATCAAGTATCACCAATTTTCATCTTACCAGCCAGAGGGTGTAAAGTATAGTAGAGGAGTGGAGAATAACAAGCCTCTGGCCTAGGATGAGAATGCTGGAATGGGAACTGTTAACAAACACTGCTGCAGCCACCAAACAGTTAAACCAGACAGACAGTGGGGGGTGGGGGGGGGAGAGAAGGGAAAAAAAAAAAAAAAAAGGAAAACTCTAAAGAAACTTTCATGCTAGCTTGTATAAGCCAAAGCATTTTTAAAAAGTACCACACCTTCATTAATTTGCTAATAATACAGGCAAGTGGAACTGACGATTTGGCTGACCTGCTAAGCGTGCCACGTACGGTCCCATCTGCCTGACATTCCACTGGGCAAAGAACATCCTTCCCGAGAAGTTCGGCCATTAGGAAGCCACCTCCGGCATCTTTCAATTTTCGGAGAGCTGGAGGCGGTGGCCGCGCCGGCCGTACGCAAGCCACCAAGGCGGCACACGCAGGGCTGGCGGTAGCCCGCTGGGTCGCCCGCCAGCCACACACGCACCTGGCTGGCCGGTGACTACGGTGAATCCCGTCTGTTACCATGGCAGCCTGATCTAATTACATGACTGATCAGGGCTGGAGTAAGCGCGCTGAAAGCCTGCACCGCTGACATGTCGCTACATGATGAGAGAGACAGACAGACAGCCGAGCACGGAGGAAAACCTATCGACCTCTGCCTTACGTAAAAAGTGAGGAGATTACAGCCAGCCTTTCAAAATAGCTGTTACCCGTAAAATACCGGGCCAGTTTTACGAACAAATTAGGTGCAATAACGTACAATTACTACTATTATCTTGCAGCATCGCAAAAATAACTACGGCGCAATATTTTCCCTGGCCATTCTCAATTTCCCTCTCCTTCATTCATAACCCTTGTTCCATATGATAAAACTGCACCGTCTCTATCACCCGAACAGAAATAGATTAACGTGAAGCCGGGATTTTCCTTTAGGGGACGGTTTCATTCGAAACTGAAATTAAAAGTCCTTGACTTATCAGGGTGTCAGCAGAGTAACTCACTATGCCTGACCGTATCTGACGCGTAAAGTAACCATTACTGCATAGAATACATAACCATGAGCGTTAAAGGTTAAAGTGTAAGCCGTGTTACAAAATATGAATTTCTTTACCATATGAAAGGGAAAAGGTCTCCGGCAAAGGTCATTTACCTACACACCCTTCCCGTTCTGCACAGAGAAATCATTTGTAAAGAGGAAGGTTTTACAAACCTAGATTTCTTCGTCTGGTCGTAAAAGAAATGCCTCGATTTTTTTTTCCCCAATTCTATCTGGAGTTCGGGCTCATAGGGGAAAGATGCTGTTCAGAGGAGTCCCTATTACACAGCATACGGTAAACAAAATAAAAATAGCCTGTCGCTCTCGTTGTCTACACAGTGCATTATATAACGGGCTTCCGACTTGTTTTCTTTTCTATTATTACTCTTCAGTAATTCCTCCTCTTCAATAACATGTAAATCGCTCCCAATTCTGTCATTTTATTATTATAGCTATTACTATTACAGTAGGAGCTAACGCTTTTCCAGCACGCTTTAATTTAGACTTTAATATTCTCAGGAATCACATTGACGGATTCAGCACCCACAACCGTACACGGGGTCATTTATTTGTTTTTCTGCCGGTAAATTACGATGCCTTAGGAGAAAAAAAAAAAAAAAAAAAAAAAGAAAAAAGAAAAAAGGAAAAAAAAAACCAAACCGACAAAAACCAAAAACCAAACCACCAACAACCAACCTCAAAACCCCGCAACCCAACCACCCCCACCCGACCCGAGCAAACCCGGAGGCGGCGGGGGATCGGTGAGCGGCAGGAGGGCAGCGGCCGCCACTGGAG